GTTTTTGTGTCTATATTTGCAAATACATGAATATCTACGTATGTGAGAGACAGAGAAAAGGTTACTTTTCCTTCTTTGGAAGGAAATCTGTTTTCATAATTTATATTTTTTTATTGAACATATCATCACATGCTTTATTTAATAAACAGACTAATTAACTCTGATAAAAAAGTTGATACCATTTTCTCAATCAAACCTATTCAATTTTTTTTTTTCATGTTTCCCATCTTCACCACAGAATGAAATTGAAATACTGAAGGCTGAAAATGACCGGTTGAAGGCCGAAACTGGTAACACAGCTAAGCCTGCTCGGCCACCATCAGAGTCCTCAAGTAGCACTTCCTCCTCATCTTCACGGCAATCATTAGGACTTTCTCTAAACAACCTGAACATCACAGAGTCTGTTACCTCAGGTGACTGTGCACACACCCATCTGAATCAAAGCATGCCTGTGACTTAACGAGGGCGGGAGACCTGGAATTTGGAGAACCCTACCCACCACTTCTCTCACTCATACCCTCTTAAAATGTTAACACTCTAATTCTCAAAAAGAGTTCTAGTTTTCTCTTGTAAATGCATTCTACTTCATTATAATTTTTAAAGAACATTCTCTGAGAGAGAACGTAAGACTTAGAGATATAGTTTTCATATTAATTTTTGAGAAGCACTTCCTCCATGATTACAAATAAAATAAAGAAATTAGTCTCAATGATGATCATTGGTGCTCACGAATATAATACAAATAACCTCATGCAATTTTATAGTGTTTTACATGTACAAAGCCCATTTACATGTGTTTCAGGACCTATTCCTAAATGTGACTACATTATTCTTTATGATGTTGCCCAGAAAGAACATAATGGTGCTAATCACCTAGTCTGCAGCTCTATTAAATTTTCAACAAACAAAAAGAACACACTGTGATGGTACTAATGATGGAACGAGGGTACAGTTTCATTCAATTGCAAGTGGAATAATAGGACATAATGTCTTAATATCTGGTGAACTATTCAATTATAAAGTGTAACTGCTCCTATGTCATTGAATTATTTTATGCATGTAAGATGTAGCTCAGGAAAGATTTACATGTGGATCTGTGGTAATTGCAAAGTACAGCCACCAGATGACGCTTGATAACCAATAATATACATGTTCCTGGGTAACTTTGGATATCATCATAGAACTAACTTCATGGTTTGCCTTAAATTGCACTCAAATATAGAAGAAAATGATGACAAAAACAAAGATGCTAATATTGATGACATTTTTATTTAATCACATATCTTGCTTCTAAAAAGTCAAATTTTAAAAATTCTATGAGATCTGCCCTTCATAGTACAAAATGAATGGCCTAATGTATACCTTCTTTCTTATAAAAACAAATGGGAACTAAAAGGCAAGTAGGAACTCCCTGAAAGTCAGTAAAACAATATTTATAACATTTGGTGGGGATTGGGGAAGGGAAATGAATTCTGAGACTAGGCATCATGTAAAACCAATATTGGTGGCCAAGAAAAAACAGACATGTCATCATTAAATGAACTTATAAATCATTGGGTAAAATAAAACTATGGAAACATAATATCTTGAATGTTTAAATTCACCCACTGTAAAGTTCACTCATACTCTTCAAAAGATGTTTAAATAGAAATAACCAAAACTTCAAATGTATAGAATCTGAGAGTCCTGAGAAATATCCTGTATGTTGGCCTGTCAGTGATGAACCTTGACAGGGAAGGGAAGTAGGATTGACACCTCTGTGTCCCAGAACTTTACTCCTCAGGAAAGACTCGGGTTGATACCTTATGGCTTAATGGCAGGATTTCACTGCCTCTTACAGGATTTTGTTTTATCCCATGANGTTAGGTGAATTTGATTTCATTTTGCTATTTAAGTTTGTACTGTCAGCAGGACATGACTTGACTGTAGCGCTAAAGTGGCCATTTAAAACAAATTGCCTTGACGAGAGAAATATCGGGAATGAGATCCATTCAAGGTACTTAGTTTTAAATGAGTGCTCTGACAGCCATGCCCTTGACCCTGCACTATTTAAAAGCCTTCCATGTTTGCGCTGCGCTGGATTAATACAAGAATAAAACAAAAACACAAAACACGGTATCATTGTTTTTAGAGATACTGTGCTGCAACTGTTAATACTCTGCTTATACATACTGACCCCAGGCAGTGGCTAGGATGGCACCTGCAAACTAACGCCCCAAAGCAAAATCCTCCAAGTGCAAATAGACAAGAAAGGTAATTTCTGTCCTTCTTTCAGCTGAGAAGCTCATTCAAACAAGCCTTTGGGAAGAAAAAGTCCACCAAGCCTCCTTCTTCACATTCGGACATTGAAGAGCTTACAGACTCCTCCCTTCCAGCATCCCCCAAGTTGCCCCATAATGCTGGTGACTGTGGGTCAGCCTCCATGAAACCCTCACAATCAGCCTCAGCGTAAGTCACTCCCTCTGCTATGCTGAAGTCCTTATTTTAAAAAACAACTTCAGGACAATCCCATGTTTGTGTTCCAAAGGTAACTGGGTTGTGCTTTCACAACTGCAGCACCATCTGCTTACGAATCATGTTCAGATCCTCCTTAGAATGTCAGGCGGCATTTGTTTCACTTTCGTGTTTCATCTGTTAGAATCTGATCTGATTCTCCACTTATCTAAGTTATTATGCTCACTGCTTTTCTCATGCATTTGTCCATGTATCTGTCTAAACTGTGCGTTAAATGCAGGTCACCCCTTGTCTGGCCACCAAAGAAACGGCAAAATGGCCCTGTGATCTACAAGCATAGATCCCGGTAAAATGGAGTGTGATGCATGAAATCTGCAAAGATCCAGGTCCTAACCTAGGCAGTGTTCACTTCTGCTTTTTCTAAACCCCCTCGCATGCATTTCAAAAACAAAAACCTCCTCTGTCTTTCTGTTTTTGAAGTAAAATCTGGTGTCTTAATCTAGTATGCTAGATTATCTACTACAAGTAAAGAAAAATGGATTGCAGTTTGGTTTTAAGCATTTTTATCATCACCTACTCTTTGGATGTTGCAAGAAAAAAAAGAAAACTTTAGAATATACAAACATGTGCTCTGATGAGTCTCATTGTTTTATATACTATTTGAACCAGGCTTCCTTGTATACCCACGGCAATGACTAGCCTAGAACTGTCACATACAACAGGGCCACTAAACACCATTTAAGACACTTGTACATCTTATATAATTTCATGACTTATGCAGGAAGGGAGAACATAGCACTATCATTTTGTGACCAGCAACCTGGTCCTCACATTTTAAATGGAAATGATATTAGTTAATATAAAACAAATTCTTTTGGCAAATTTCCTACAAAGCTGCCCACAAAACAACAATAAGGATATAATGTATATGACCTTCAGGCAGCCCTCAACGACCCTCCTTTTATGGGTTGAAAACTGTGATTTAGCTTTGTTAGCTGTGATCCCCTAAATCAATCATCTGAGCCTAGCAAGAGGATTATATAATGCTCCTCCATTTTATTTAAATGTCCCAAACTAATCCCTCTGATTTATTTTCTACAATATTTATAGTGAATTTTCATGGTAACTGGAAGATGGTATTGTGGCAAAGAAGGTTGCTGTTTGCACAGTTTTACAAAACAAGAAATCAACATTTTAAGGACATAAATTTGCTTTAAGAAAAGAATATTTCACATGTTGAAAATAGAGATTTAAGTCTCTTGAGAAATGGGAGATTGAAATGTAGTAATACTATGAATTTTCAGCCCCATAAATATCAGGAACAAGAGTATTCTGAGGATCCCCTTTTATATCCACTAATAATAAATTGTTTTAATACTTCAGAAAATAGGAAGAAAAGATTAAAGGAAAAGAGAGCTACTATTTTCAGTTTTGA